GAGAGAGAGAGAGAGAGAGAGAGAGAGAGAGAGAGAGAGAGAGAGAGAGAGAGAGAGAGAGAGAGAGAGAGAAAGAGATCTAAAAGCTTGGGGTCCCCTCGCTTTCAAATTGACAAGCCCCATTTCCTGCAAAGAAACGAGCCCTCAGCATGCTGGAGAAACACCCTACCAACCCTGAGAGAAGGCACGTCTGCAAATTTTGGCCTTGGCCTTACGTCAGTCCCCATGCCATGATCTATAGGTCTATAAACAAGCCGTAAGAATTTATAGGACTACATAACGATGACAAGAGAAAAATGGGTTACAGGGCCCTGTGTTTTGGTTGCTGCACGCAGCATTATTTTATAAACAAAAATACAAATTTATAGGACTCCATATACCTGATGGAAGGAAACTGTGTTGCAGGGGCCCGTGGGCCGGTCGCTGCACGCAGCATCTCCAACCAATCCTTCAGAAGATGCTGAGGCCCAACCAATCCGCAGGTCCGTAGGCATTACAGTTGAGCCTCAAGCAGATTCCGGAAAGGGCCCAGGGCGCTGCTGCCATTCCAGCCACTCCACGTACGAGCCACAGTCACACAGGGGATTCTGGATGGCTACGCTCGGCAGCTCTGCTGGTTCATTTGTTGGAATGGAGGAGAGTCAGGCCAGAGGGAAGAGGGCACTGGCGGGGCGTGTCGGAGCAGCGGGGCGAAGCAGCCGGGCAGGGCCACGCAACCATAGCCGGGCTGGATGGGCGCCTCGCTGGATGGGGACTACCGGAGGTCCTTTGGCAAAAGGGAAGCAAGGCTGAGCGGTGTGACGAGGCACTTACCTAGTGGAGAAAGACGCGGGCCCATTCACTCGGAGTCTTCATTTGACATCGGGCTGATGAACTTCATTGCAGACCCCTTGTAGATGTATTTGAGGTCTGCAATGAAGTTCTCTGGGCGCCGAGCGCCAATGTAGGAGAGCTCCGTTACATGGTTAACATTGGTGATTGGAGGCGAGATGAGGACTTTCATTATTATGCGACTTCCAATGCTTTGCGCGTACTAACTTGGTGCATCATCAGTTTGAAATCTACTTTTCAGTTCATGCTACTACCTTCTTCCCCGGAATACAACGTACGGTCATTATAGCTGTATTTGAGGCTTCTTTCAGTCTAAATACATAATTATAGCTGTATTTGAGGCGTCTTTCAGTCTAGATACAGCTATAATGACCGTACGTTGTATTTGGGGGAAGAAGGTAGAAGTTATCTGGATGTCTAATAAAATTTCTGTGCAATGCTGCAGTCTGGTTTATTGTCATTCACATCATAATTGCTCATTTCCTTCAAATTCCTTGCATATTTTTATTTTTTCCTTCTTTGAAGTGTTTTTCTTTTTTTGTTTTATGTTTTAAATCACATGAAGAAAAAGAATAGATCTAGGTTGTTGCTTCCCAGAACATTTTTGAAATACGTTCAGATTATAAGTATATATAAAGCATTGTGTTCTTTTTTTTTTTTTTTTTTTCCTAAGTATTGTGTTCTGCAATCACCTTATTCCGAAGTTCATCAGCCAGCTCCCTCTGCTGTGATTCCGTAGGTGCTAGCCTCCCATCGCGCAGGCATGCTCCATGTGCTACAGCCCTGAACAAGCACCGACCGTCACCAGGGATTGCTGAAGGCCATCCAAAAAGATCACCCAGAAACCAGAAAAAGAAGGAAAGGCAAATTTAGATCGAAGGAAACAGACGTAACGAGTCAAAAATGCACGGAAGAATTAGAACCACGGATCTGAGGCACAATTCAGCGAAACGACTGCAACGCAGCGAGGGGGGGAGGTGGGGCACGAGAGCCTTATCCCATGCAACTTCACAGTCTCTGACTTGGATTGGAGACTGGAGATGTGAGTCGCATCCAACGACCACAACACAGGAAGGAGATGGGCAGCAGGAGATCCTAGACTTCACCGAACTTCCCCGTCTCAAATTTCATGCCTTCCCAATATGCCATAGCATTATGCTAATGCAGCGACATTCTACTGTGTGAAGCCACATCCCTGATCACCTTCCATCAGTAGAGAGAGACAGAGAGAGAGAGAGAGAGAGAGAGAGAGACAGGGGGGGGGGGGGGGGGGGGGGGGGGGGGGGGGGGGGGGGGGGGGGGGGGGGGCGGGAGGGAGGGTTGCATGCACAAAGTATCTGGCGAATGCAAACCTATTAGGTGACAGGATGTCATTCACACTCAAAAGAATTAAAGTATTAACAAGTCCATCTGAAAATGGAACTTTTCAAGGAATGCCACACAACTGAAAAGGGAGCTAGCAGTTAAAGTGTAAGTGTCTGTCTCGCACTACCTGGCAGACATATATCGTCACATAGTTATGAACTAAAAGAGCGCACTTTGCAAAAGGAAGGATAAAAAACAGAAAAAAAACAAGGGCACATCGAAACCATTCAATTTCTCAATCCTCTTTTTAACTCCCCCTACCTTGTACCTCTCGAGTACAAGGCTCGCCATACATAAATTTATATACATGTCGTCAAACAGAGCTGCCTGGTAAACCGTAGGGGCAGAGAGGGACAAGAGGGAGAAGAGGACAACAAACGAGGGGCTGTGACAAACTGTTTCGTTGGAGTTTCACCAACCCTGTTGTGGTTAGGCATCAACAACTGCCCGACAACTGATACCCTGAGGTGGGCACCAACCTCTTCCCTCAAGGTACCTATGACGAACATCAAAGCTGACTCACTCACCCACACCAGATCTCTCTCTCTCTCTCTCTCTCTCTCTCTCTCTCTCTCTCTCTCTCTCTCTCTCTCTCTCTCTCTCTCTCTCTCTCTCTCTCTCTCTCTCTCT